CCAACTGCCCTGGCTGGAGGAGCATGGAAGACAGTTTGCCGGATACAAAATGTGGTAATCGCAGCCTTGTCTAGACAGACACTTCACTCCAGACTGTCTCCTGTGGAGCGACAGATCACTCATTAAAATGACTTGCATCTCTACTGAATGTTAATTAACAGAACTGTGAGGAGCAGGTGTTAACTTGTTTTATAGATTCATTATAGTTCCTGAGCTCCCTAGACACAGTTAGATATAGTTACCAAACATTAAAAAGTTCCTGATTTTGACCCTTTTTGTCTCATTTACAAACTTGTACTTGTATATGTATATGTAATTGTATTTATTCACACTATTTTAAGGATATTTTAAAGCCAGGCATTTAAACCCCAGGAGCTGCAAGAGAAGTCCACCAACAGGTGTTCGGTGGGGAAGGATGCAGTTTGCCTGCATCAAACTTGTGGAGAGATTGTCAGCTCCCTCCTGCCTCCAGCTCAGCATTTGTTTTTCACCTCTCTCTTCAGGGATGCTACCATTCACCCAACTGTCATAGCTGCTATCTAACAGCTGCCCAACTCAAACTATCTGAAATTGCCCAGGTTAGTTTACACACTTTAATTCATAGAGGTCTCTTATATACTGTAGTGTTTTTAATTGAGCTGGAGAGCAATTACATAAATAGCTATAAACCACACAGAGGGAAGTTATGTTGGGGTTTATTTGTGTGTTTGAGGTGTGGAGAGGTGCTCAGGGCAATAAATTCTTCACAGAGCCAAAATGGGGGATGTGACCAACCTGTCAGGCTCATTTTTTAACACCTATTAGACCTTTTTACTGCACAGAGGTCAGCAGTCCCTGAGTTATTTGGGCTCTCCATGCACTTCTGATACAGGCATAAATGCTAGAAACTGGAGCTGTTAAATACCAGTCAGGTACTATCTCTGATATGGCCTCAAACCTGAAAAAGAATCTCTGCTATTTTCAGGAGTTAAGTGCCTGTCAGCTCTGCTTTTCTCACATAGAGACATTCATCTAGCCCTCTTGTAAGGCAGTAGATGGAGATTTGTTCTTCATTTACCCAAATGAAAGGTCTTGAACCTGTATATCCCATGCTACCATCAAATGTTCAGCTCACCAAAATACCTGCAGGGCTGGCTTCCCTCTGACCCAGCACACTGTTAAACAATCAGGCAGCTCCAAGAGCAGATGTTCCATGTTCTCCATGCTGGAGAGCATATCCTGGTGGTGGTGGTGGTGGTGGTAGTGGGCTTGTGATCCTGGTCTCAAGGACCAGAGGGGGGAGGTAATAACATCTTCTACCTATGCAAGGAATCCCACAGCCACTCATCTGTTGAACTGATATTCTTTTCTCAAAACTTTAGTCACCAATCAGAAAAATCTGAGAGTTACTTTAGATTCTCTTTACAGTAAAAAATATTGTAGAAACAATAGACACCTCTAGAGAATAATTCAGATTTCAGTCTTCCTGTGATGATTACAAAGAAGCCTAGTGTGACCACAGTCATAATTAAAATGCCTCAGTTAAATGTCTAGAGTTAAGGAGGAAACCAGGTTTTGGTGCCTGAAAACAGTCTCTAGAAGCTGTTGTCCTTGATTTCCAGGCTGACCTTGACCCAACAGGTGAGTTTTGAATATGTCTGCAGGCTCTGTTGGATGCATTTCACAGCTGAAGGTGTGCTATTTTGATAACTCTATCAAGGCTTCAGAGCTGAACTGTTCTACAGACTGTGCAGACAGCCTAGAGAGCTGTGCAGACAGCCAGCATTAAGAGGTTACTACACCCTCTTTGTTACTGCACAGAAATGATGCAATGTAGAATTTAGGGAATAGTAATGGGTGGAACAGTAAGAACTGCTATGATTTAACCTTTTACCACCTTGTATGTCTGTGTTTTATAACAACTGGGCAGGATACAGTGCTCAAAGGATGTTGAAACAGGATTTTACAGTAGCTAATAGATACCATTTGCTGTAAAGAGAGCTTGACAAACACCCTGAGCTGAAAAAAACCACACCTATCAGTTCACAAATTGTAATCACTCCAGTAAAAACTTCAGTAGAAGAGAACATTGCTTTATTATAGATGAAGATGTGACTGTGATTCTCTATTTTAAAGGAAGCCAGTTGTGGGCTACATCAGTCTGGGTGCTGCTTATCTAATGGCTTGCAAGGTCAGGTTTTCAAGGCCTAAAGTCCATCCTATTAGGATAAATAGGGATTGGCAGGTTTCTTTGGATACATTGGAGGCATTAAAGCTATCATAACTAAAAATTTCTGTAAATATAAAGAAACTTTGGAGCTGGCATATGGACTTAAAGGAACAAAACCCTTCAGAAATAATAAAACTTCTCTGATCTATGAGATGACTTGACTACCATCTGTGGAGGCTACACAATCATTATCAGGCAGAGTAGAATATTGCTTCAAACTCCTTAGTCCCAGCGAATCATAACAGAGAAGCTGATAATGACAAGAATAAAAGAAAACATAAAAGATGTTTTTGGAACATGACAAGTGAGAAACTCTGCCAAATACAGATCCGGTCTTCAAACCCTGAAAATAATCCACAGAATTTACTGACTTGAATGGGCTCCTGACAACTTTAACTTTACCCACTTAATCTACAGTGAGATCTTCATGACTGCCTTGACTTTGTCAAAAGGTGTCTCAGTCATTTTGATTCCTCACTCAAGGATTTTAATTCTCCAGTCTTGTCTTCACCCAGAATCTACCCAGCATCCTGAGAGCAGCACCCAGGCAAACATTACTGGCAGACACTGAGCCAGGCACTGTCTGTTTTAATTGCATTGCTCACAACAGATAAAAAATCACAATAGTGAAAACCATCTGCTGGGAGGATTTTGTCCCCACAGTGGGGTATATGAGGGAAATGCCAACTGCATTGACTACGTGTGAACACAGCTTAGTGTTCACTACGGTGAACGCTAGGTTCACCTTAGTTAGGTGGGAGCATGCAAAGCAGTTCCCTCCCTTCATTCCATGTAAGCAAGCAGTGGGGATAAAGTTTGTCAAAAGCTGGGAAAAGACCTTGTTATTTGAGTTTCAGCTGAAAAGGACTGAATCCTGCTCCTCATTAGGGAAGTTCAGTTCTAAAGGAAATCAAGGTGATGCTGCATAAATGCTGTGTTTCATAAAGACCTTGGTTCAGATTTCATTAGAACATATGCTTGATCTTCAGTTCAGGGCTCCTTAACATGCTGTCCCTTGCCAAGGTTGTTGAACGTGTTTGAGGGATTGCAGGAAGGGCTGCCACAAGTGCTGAGGAGCTGCCCAACCAGCCAGATGAAAGAACCTACAAAAGGGAGAAGTCCATTGCGAGAGAAACTTGTGCTGCAGGAGACCCTGTTGTGACCCTACAGGCTCATCTTGACCATTCAGGTTAATGACTTGAGTAGGTACTGGCCTGGACTGTCATGTAGCACTGTTTTTAGTACAATCAAACCACAGGCGAGTAAGGCTAAAATGCATATTTTTACTGTGTAGTCAGAGCTTTCCTGTTCAATGGATAGTGTGAAGGTACCATTAAATACTGCAGCACCAATACACAGGTGTGCCTGCATTATACACTGACTGTTCTGGTGTTTTGAAGATTTACAAGTGCAAAGATGGTGGCGGAGTTTGAAAGATGGATTTTTGCTTGGTAAGGGCAAGCTCCATGAAGAGCTAAGTGCTAATGCAAACTAACTACTTAACACAACACAGCTGTTTTAAATTCATCAGAGAAAACCACTGCCCCAGACAAGAAGCTTGTTCTACCTCTGTAGCACTCATTAGATCTTTTGCTGTTGGAATTGACAAAAACATTAAATTAATCACTGATACTTTGAAGAATTGTGAAAAATGCATGAATTTGCAACAATCACATCTTAGATTTCCAGAAGTTGCTGGTCTGATGAAACACAAACTTCTAAGGTCATCTGAAAAAAAGACTAATGTGGAGTAGGGCCAGTACAGATAGTCATAACAGTGAGGTAAAACAAGCCAGATGCAAGGCTAGCAAGCAAACAAGAAGGTAAGACCGTATTTTTCATGTAAGCCTACAGAGACTTGTTTAGCAGTTTGACTCTATGCCAAATAGTTCACTGCACCTCTAAAAATTGCTTTACTCTAAAAAAGTAATCTGAAAGATCCCTGGACTGCAGTCAACTTAATATCACACATATCTGCATCTTCAAAGCATTCTCTTTGGCTCAACATAGCAACAGAAGCATAACTATTAGTGGTTATTTCAACCTTGAGGTAATTTGATGCCCTGCAACTCCACCCACTAAGCAAATAAACTGACTTTGATGTCCCTTAAATATGTGACAGAAGAGAAAAACAAAGGCCTTGTATGTAACACTGTGAAAGAGATGACTTCTCAAGGCATTTCCCTACAAATAGAGAAATCTTCTTTTATTATAGCCAGTTATTCCAAAGATACTCATTAGGATGGACTTGATCATGGTGACCATCTATCCTGCAAGGCTCAAACTCACAGTTCAACATCTATGTAATATTTAATATGAGAGACGAGGAGTTGCAATGCAGTGTCGTTGGACACTGGTAAATCATGCTCCAGCTTCAGCTAGAGTTTAAAGGGATGTAATAAGAGCTGAGGTTACTGCTCTGTATGTCAGAGTATTTATTTTGCAGCATAGTTCCAGTTTCTCTCTACCTGTACTTAAAGTATACCCTGGTTCTATTCTAAACCCCATGTGCTGCTGGGAATGTTTGAGCAGGAAACTTTACTTTTCAGTGTACTTGTTTCCCAGCCTGAATATTTCAATCCTACCACCAATTGCAGGGCCACTTATATCTGTGTTAGGAGGTGGAACTCACCTTGACAATTAGGTCCTTTGCTATTTTAATGGTAAGTAATGGGACTGAAGTAAATATATGGAATATAGGAACACTTTAATGCTTATATAGGCAAAACATCACAGCAGATATGATAATTCTAGAGTAAATCATTGATAACAATACATGCTCTAACTGGAATACAAACATAGTGATTCTTTTATTGTCTTAATCCATAAATTTTAATGTGTATGAGCAAGTGATCCTTGCATGTCAATCTCAGCTCTCATCTTTCACATACCTAGAGATGCTAGATATATTTTAAAGTTACGTAATGAAAATGTAGCTTGGTACCTGTTTTAGTCTGCATTTCCTTTGTTTATTCCTAAGACTACATGGATCATATATAATGTTCAAAAAAGCTTATTCAAAGAACTCATTTAAATAAAGATCAATTTGCATATTGTACCAATGACTCTGTACAGACAAATATATATCTACATAGACATGTAAGAAATAGGAAACACAGGAAAATATCCACTTAAAACACTTGAAAAATATTAGGATTTGGAAAACATTAAGACATCTGGGTGTACAGCACATGTAAACCATTTTGTGGTGAAACTAGAACTCATGAATTGCACATTCACTGATATCAGCTACAGTATAACAAAGTCAGCTCTTTCCTTTTCATCAATAGGCTTTGGTTAAAAAAACCCAAACATAAAAACCCAGTTCATACCTTAAAGACATTTGTGTACAGAACAATAGCAGTAACAGCATGTGGATTTAAATGAGCTACCAAAAAACCTCCATATATTAACAGAAGCAGAATTGTAATACACCTATTATTGATCATCTTAATACTGAAGACATCTGGCTGTATTTTGCATCGCCTATTAATAATGACATGATATTATATCTTTCAGCTTTAAGGCTGTGAATCTCTGGAATTCCAGACCCAAGAGAATATATTATATCATTTGCATACAATATTCTTTAGATAATCATATTGCTCAAAAAACAAATGCTGTTTTTTCTGTATTTATGCACAGCTCCTGACCCATCTTTCAAGCGAAGCTCCACACCAGGGAAAACCTTACACAGAAATTTGGAGACATTTACTGTAAGCAATCAGCAGCATATTATACAGAAACAGAGATAATCACACCATCTCACAAAATGTGAGTAATTGTCTAAGTTAGGAGCTTTTTCAGCATAGTGGAAGGTCTCCTAAACTAGATGTGCCAGATCCTCTTTTTGAGGATATTTCTATTACCTAGGAAGCCAAACTCCATACTGCATAACAATTTCTCATTGCATCCCTACATATCTCACCTAAAGGAGCATGAATTCATAAAACTATAGCTGGGCATACAGATTGTTGAGTTTAAGGATCTTTGGCAAACCCCAAATGTTGTGTCATGAACTGTTAGCCCTACTTCTACTAGCACTACTAAGGTAAATAAGATGATGATTCCTTGCTATAATTTGTTTATTCTGTGACATGCTTTGAGGCTTCCTTTCCCAAATTAGAAGCTAATGGAGGATTATATGTAAAACTGTGAAGGGAAAGCATGACACAGACTCAGTAGATCTTTTCTTAGACCTGCACTTACCTGGTTCAGACTCCTTTCTGTAACGATAGTGGGAGAGAGCAGTGCCTTAATTGCCTGCTGCATGACTGGATTAATGAAAATACATAACTGGATAATTTGTAGGGACAACAGTCTTATAGGTTGCCATTAACCTGTCACTCAGCTGTTAAACCTGGACTGTGCTTGGTTTCCCATCATGGCACCATAACTGTGAATGAGTGGGCTGCCAACACTCATGGCAGGGGACCAGCAGACAGCGTCTCCCTGGGGTTTCCCTCACAGAAGGTCTGCAAACATTGCTGATATATCTGGGCTCCAGCATGAAGCTGCAGTTCAGAGAAGGTCTGAACTGAAACTAGCATTCACAAAAGGTCTTGTCCCTGCCAAGCATGGGATGCTGGCAGTAAATCTCCTGCTGCCATTGCATCGCACGCTCCTCATGACCTATTAATAACCAGATCCTGAAGTTTTTATGTGTGCTTGAAAAGGGGATTTTTCTTATGTTTGTGGTATTGGCTTCACACATGGGCAAGTATTTTATGAAAATCATGAAAGAAGCAGCACTTCCATGTGGGAAGAATACTTGCTTGGCTCACAGGCCAAGGTAGACACTGAAGCACTTATCTAAGTGTTCTTCTTGCATATGGGCACTCTCCTAAACTGCAACCATAAATAAAGTTATGTTAACAAATTCGCTATATTTACATGTTACATTGAAACTCATTCTCAAGTGTAAGGAATCTATCTATTAGCTTTAGAACATGCAAAAAAATAGATAGATATCTCTTCCATCTAAGATATAAAGAAGAGGTGTGTTTTCACTAAAAACACTAGAGTTCAAACTTGGCATCATCAGTAAAATGCTAATAGACATTTTCAGTTGTATAAACCAAGTGTATAACGAGAAAAGGTTTGATATTCAGGGGGAATCTATCCATATAAAATAAAACTCTTTAAAATGGAATGTAGTCAGTTTCTAAATACATTCAAATATTACAGTGTCTCTATAAATAGAAAACTATATAGTGCTGAAGAACTGAAGCAGTCCTTTCCAAATGTTCAAGTAAATATATTTCTCTCTCTTTACTATCATAAATACACAGTTGCTTGAGCTACAGCTGTTCTAGTCTTTGGCAACAGTTCAAGTAACTTCCTCTCTTCTCTCCACCTTCCATTTTGACACAACAGAGTCACCAGGGCATATCTCAATTTCATAATGTTTTTGAAAAAATACCACATGTCCCAAACTCTGTGTGTATGTTCAGTCAGTCAAGGAAGCATGTCAAAATTCTCAATCATCCTTCAATTGTCACTCCCGTAGTGGTATTTCTCTAGTACCAGCACTATATCCAAGAGAGACTATGTGCTGACAAGCTCCCTCTTACTTGCACAGAGCCTGCTGAGAAGGATTTCAGAATATACTTGATTTATTGGACCTCGGACATGATATGGGGAGTGAGAATTTGTTGCATAATCCTGCAGTTGTGATGGTTTGCTTTGACCACCGAAATATTTCCCCAGTGTATAGTGCCTTGATAACGTCATTGTTATGTGTGGCTGTTCTTCAGAGGGATTGGATTTCACCACCTGCAAAAAAATGACATATGTGAGTGCTTTCTGCCTGCATCTAGAAAGACAGATACACAGCTGTGTGCACAGAAATGCTGCGGCAGTTGTGCACAAAGCAGGTCCTGATACTCTTACCTTGAGCTGCAAGTTGCTCGCAAACAGTATTTTAATGGCCAACTTGTTATGTTACATACTAACTAAAGTGCAAGATCTTAAGTCTTGAAATCTAAATGCATAGGCCCATTATACTCGGTAGATTCTGTAATGCTAATTCTAATGTATATTAGATTCTGTTCTCTTCATTAGAGACAGTTTACGGAAAACAATAAAATTCATACTCAGAGTTTGTCTGTATATTCAGCATGTGAAAAAACAAAGGACAGCCCCAAACTGCAGAAAGGTTTAAATTCTGCTCTGATATTAAGCACTTGAGGAACAAATACTGTGACTCAGCTAAAAGCCTTGTCTCAACTATGAGAATGTCTCACTCTAAGGTCTTGATGCAAACCTGGCCCACCCCCATGTTGAGATGAAAACACTCATGTATCATGTTTCTCCAAGAAGGGAGTTATGGTGCAATTTAACATCCCTGTCCCCAGGGCCTCACATGACCTCATATTACCTGACATAACCACAACATGATTCAGTAACTAGTGCCAAAGAATGATGCACCTTGGCCCCTCAAGTATGTATAAAGCTCTGGGATTATCAGGTTCAACTCGTATGGAATAAACAAATGCCCATGGGACTAATAAGAGAGAAAGTGAAAGGTATGGTTGTCAGGAGCCTAATGACTAGGGAGGGTGGTCTCCTGTGAAATGCTGAAGATCTTGTCTCAGTGAACACTCAGTTACTGATGGATAATGAAGCAACTGCAAGAGAGGCAAAACTTCAGAACCTTGCGCATATGCAGGACAGAAGACCTCAGCCCCAGCAGTGGCAAATCCAGAGAAAGCAGAAAAGGAGACAAGTGGTTAACTTATTTTTTAAAAAGTAAACATATGCTGACTTGATAGCTCTGATGCCCATCAGTTTTCCTGCTATATCAATCACAGTAGACGCTTGAAAATGCAGAATTCATTTATTAATGCGCATATTTATTCAGAAGCATGTTAGCTTTTAAAAAATATAAGGTATATTTACTGCCACTGAACAATCAGAATAAATGTTCAGATGAAGTGAATATTATAATAAACTAAACAAATCATACAAAATTAAGTGTGAGTGAAGGAGTAACATGTGCAAAGGCTTGAAAGATTGAGCAGAGAGGCCATGAGGAAGCCAGCTGAACTGAAAAAGGACCAGGAACTACCCATGTAGAAAATTAATATATCCTCTGATCAATTTGATACAGCTAAGTGAAGGGCTATTATTTGTTTTTATTCAGTTACTGCAGGTTCATTTTTCTAAATTAGTGCCTTAAATCTTACAACTATTTCAAAATGATGCCACCTTGAACCAATCACCCAAACTGCATTCCTGTTAGGCATAATCTCCCAGGAATGCAATCTAATGTTCATCCAGCAGTCAGCCAGCCACTGATTAAGATACCAAAATCCCAAGGTTGCTAGTTTCTATGTTGTGACCATGATTTGATTTCATTGCCATTAAAATAGGAAATAAATTTGAATTTAAAAATAGCTTCTATAATGGTCTTTATAAGTGCTGCCCAATCTACTTCTCCATAAGCATTTTAAAAGAATGAGATAAGTAAAAAATCAAGTTTGCATGTGTGCACAGAACTAGAAGTATGTTTGGGCAGCAAGTACCAGGGTTATGCAAGATAGTTTGTCTCAGCTCAACATAATCCCGTTGAAAGCCCAGATCCCTTGGCAATCTGAGCAAAGATTGTAGGCTCTACAGAGGTGCAGATTTCTATGCTATCAGGCTCACCCTAAAGACCCACTGAAGTGGGTTGGTGAGAACTCAATTTTTGAGGACAATCAGAGGAAACAGTTTTCTCTTCAGACAGCTATTGGGAACTAAATGAGAACTGCTGAGGGCATTTCAGTTCTTGTTTTTTTTACTGCAGAGAATGGCCAGTCCCCCCTTCCAGCACAGCCATGCTTTAGCTCAGATGGCAATTATAGGGGAGTGTCATCTTCTGGGCATTTAGGAGTGTCATTTTTTTAAGAGAAAGCAAGTGAAAGTACAAAGCAACAGACTTAATCTATCTCATCTGGTTTCAGAAAACATGAAAAGTGCTGGGGTTTTACACAGTATTCTTGGCTCTGTCCTCAGAGGCAAAATGCCATTTTCCTAGTGCAAACTGCTTCAGCACCTGATGAAACTCCTCTTGCCAGGATGCCAGGATGCAGAAATAAGCTGATGACAAAACTGTTAAAACTAACGAGGTATCAAAAGCATTCAAGGACTTTCTTTTTGCTTTCCTCAAGGATCAAGTCTGGATTTTAGTGGCTGATGAATTCTCCTGGGCATATCTGTGCCTCTTTTAGGCACAACGACCTCTCAAGCCTCATTAACAACATCTTTGTGGGCCAAATTCTCCAGTGATCCTCCCCAGAAACACATACTTTCTGTTGAGATTCTTCCGGCACAGAAACAAGAGCAAATCTGAACATGAGCTCATACAAAATGATGGGGGAGTGCATGAAAAATGCTGATGACCGATCACACCCTGCTGTTTTCCACCCAGTTCTATACAAAGCATCTGAAATATTTCACTTTGAAGCTCTCCTTTTCACTTGTAAGATCTGTAGAAGTGACAAGCATTCCCAGTGACCCACGAAGACACCAACATCTGTGCTCTAGACAAAAAAGGGTTAATACAGCTTTCTGGGTAAAATGGAGGGAGGCATTTACTCCATGGGATGATTTATCTATTACATAAATATGTGCTCTGTGACTTACTCCGTTTTTCTAACTCCATTTGTACTGAGCTGTGTTTGTGCCTCTCAAGTTCTGAGCAGCGTAGATTAAAGGACTGGTTAACCAGCCACACCTGCTGATTTTGGTCCCAAAGCACTACAGAGGCCATGGCAATGGCCTGAAAACATGTGAGCTGCTGGGGAGCTGAGGTGGAAACCAGCTGTGAGGCTGACACATGGCACTAGAGATCAGATGGGTCTGATAACACTCCCAAACTTGTGGTCTGTCCCAGGCAGCCTCATACCGGAGCAGAGTCCCTGCCAGTTCCAGTCAATTGACTCCCCAGATTCTTCTGGAAATGCATTTGCTGTCTGGTAGACTGTGTTTGAGATAATATTTCTGCCTGTGTATTTATGGAGAAAAATCAAAGCTTTATAGTTATTGTTTTATTCTGCTGTGGCTAAGAGAGTTAAATATAATCCACAGGCTACAAGAAAATAGACTTGCTATGCATATGCAGACACCACAAGGACACTCTGGAGCCTATGCTTGAATTTTACGATCATCACCGCTGAATTTCAGTTTGTTTAGTTTAAACTACTCGTAGGTTTAATTAGCCACAGGATATTTTGGTTTCCAGTGTATACTGTGGGTGTCTGATGAAGGCACCTTTATTTTTAGATTGTTGTTTTATGCTGTGATATTTTTTCACAGCAAAAATTAGTACCTCCACTTCATTCCTGGTGTCATGGCCCATCTTTGTACCTGAAAAACTCTTCAGAGCTTCTCTGCTAACCCTGAACACATTCAGGTCCTGGGAACAGGTTTGGCCAGAAGTGAGGCTTACAGAAAAATTGGCATGACTTGGCAAAATAAGGAAAGGCAGTTTATCCTTGAGAGGTTCAGAAAACATTTGATGGTCTCTCTTACTTAAAGTAATTTATTTTGACAGAAAACAAATTCCTAAAATTATGCTGAAAAAATACTAGCATTTCACTTGTGTGGTGCTAGTCTTTTTTAACACTTATGCGCTTTTGATAACTCTAATAAAAAAAAAAATCCGAGGATTTTCTCCATGAGAATTAAGTTTTTGTATTCTAAATGGCATATCAAATTACTTGTGTCATTATTCTAGTCAGTAATCAAATTTCTGAGATTTTTTTGAACTCGTAGCTTCTTATTGGCTAAAAGCCCCCAGCTGACTATGAAACATTATAAATTTATTAACTCTTGATTTCAGAGAGCCATCTTTCTTTGTACCCTTTTTGCCCCCCAGTTTTAACTTTTCAGTAACAATTTGTTCTTATTCTGTATTTCATTCTATCAAAACTTCCACCTCTCTTTTGATCACTCAGAGAAAATGCAATCTTTCTGAAAGATATGACAATCCCAGTCTTATGGCTCTAGACAGATTTTAGCTAAATAACTTGAGGTAGTTTCCTAATCTTTTGTTAAACAATCCAGATTTCAGTTCATAAGAATGAAGAATGTAGCATCACAGGCAATTTCTCACTTACAACTTATACTTCTGTTTGTATAGTTGGTTACTGTAACTATCCCAGATAATTTTTTCTCAGTCAAGGGAAAACAGATACATAGCAGTGAGATTGGTCCTTCAATGTTAAGCTCCATTTTAATTGTATTTATGATTTGATGTGTGTGCACTGAGCTGCTCAGTTGGGAAGCCATCAGAAAAAAACCTGTGAGACTGAGGTACGATAAAAAGATAAACTCAGTCCATGAAGAAGCAGCAGGGATATATAACACATAACAAATAATATAACAACCTGGAAACTGTGCAACATCCTTTTATATGAGTTACCTTTGCAGAAGAGCACATTTATTCTTATTTTGAGGAATTATCACTACAGCAGTTCAGCCTGTCCTTGGGTGGCCTTACACTCCAAGCAGCGAGGGACAAGTGCCCTGTACAAACTCCTATACCCACGATTTGTATTCAGGCCTAACTTTGAGTCACAAATGCTAACCTCATTGCATACCTTTTCGTTTCTAAGCACCTGACAGTTAAAATATCTTAAATACCTGGAAATTATATAAGTGTAAATTATTACCTCATGGAAATGGCAACCACACTTCCCTTGCAGGAATTCCTTGTAACGTCCCATGGTGATGACAAAGGTGTCAACCACTTCGTAGCCCAAATTTTTTGCTGTATCCAGAATAATCAAGTTTTCATTCCACAGGTTTTGTATTTGTGCCTGCATTCCAGATAAAATATTGCAATGTCTTGTCAGAAGGGCTGTTTAAGGGGTATTGTGTCATGGAAATGAATAGCAAAACTGCATTTTGAATAAGCAATGATGTTATACTCCAGGCATGAATTACTATAAATTCACTCTTGGAAATAGCTGCTACTCCAAGGCTGTTGTAGATGTTTGCAGAAATTACAATTACTTTTCAGTAGTTGTGCAGCTTCCTTTACAGGAAGATTTCAAGGTTGTTTAAAATATAATCAAATTCATTGAGGCTGTTGCTTAAAAAGGAGTAAAGGACATGGGTATCTTAAAAATGGTTATACTGAAGAACAGATTACTATTTCTGAAGATACTGCAGTAAGGCCAAGAATAGAAAAAAATTTAGCCATGAAGGTGGCAAGGTGGTGGATTGGACACTGCAGATAGAAGAGCTTTGAGAGTAGCTGTGGTAGTCCTGAAGCCTAGAGCACCCAAACCACATGGGTAATTTGGCATATGATTCCAATATTGAAAGAGAAAAGAATGTCCGTTATTCATCATAGTTGATTTCTGGAGTTTTGCCAATTTACTGAATAAAAAAGATAAAAAAGTACTCCTCAGAAGCCTTTAATACTCTTTTTATTCTTGCCTTACCTACCCTGTATCAAAATTCTTCTTCCTCCTAGGACTGAACTCTACTGAAACCTGTGGCAGGAGCTATGAAAATGTTTCTTCATGTTGATGACAACAATTTCCCTACTGTATTCTATTGTGGTCATCCAGATAAATTAAAAAAATTGTTTGAATCAATAAGAAGACATTTAGTAGAGAAAAGGTAGATAAATAGTTAGACAGAAAGAATTGGCAAAATCAGACAGGGTAGTCTCTGTAGCAGAAAGAAGGGTGAGAGTAGCAGTAAGTCACACACTGAATACAGCAGTGTGTTATGGTTGCAAAAAGACGCAGACACCAGTCCCCAGTGTGAAAGGAGTGCTGTATGTAATCTATGAAAGCTAATAATTTTCTCTTTTCCACACCTGTGAATAGCTGGAGCATGACACACAGTGCTGGTAGGCATCATGCACTCCGTTCTGCCCTCTAGTGCTTCTCATCCATGCATTTTATGTGTAGAGAATAGAGAATTAATGTCCAAATTCTAAATAAAAATATTGAATTGAATGAGTTACAAAAGCTCATTGAAATGAGCCCATTTGGGTCTTGGATATGATTTAAACTAACTGTAACATATTATTAACATACAAATAACAGGCTGGATTCACTGGTACATTCCAGCTGCTCTGCAATGTTCTGGTTTCACAGGTGAGTTAAGGTAGATTTATGAGAGTTATGCAATGCAGCCAGACCAGTGAATCTGATCCAGCAGTAAACACGGAGGAAGCCTGTGAAGGGCCTGTGCTCAATGTGGTACAAGGAGCAGTCTGCTTATCCCTAGCTCAATTTCTCAACTTGGACAAGAGGATTAATATTGGAGCTTCTTCTGGTTCTTGGGACAGCTGACCAAGCACAGCATCTCCAGTGGCTCTCTGATTGCAGTGGAATCCTTGAAATAAGGCGAATTGGTTTGAATCTATATTAGTAAGCAGTATGAGCAAATACAAACATTAATCTTTCTTTGATCCACTTAAAGCTTGCTCAGCAGAGGTTGTAACGTATTTTGACCAGACAGCAAAATTAATGCTGAAATGACAAGTCTTCCATGAAAATACATTCAAAATGTACTATAGCTTACTTGTGATAGAGAATGTATTCCATCCACCGGGAGGTGAAAGCCCATGCCTATGGATTTGATAATTACCAGGATATTTGATAGATTTTCCCTGTTTGGCAAATTAAAAAAAAAAAAAAAAGGACAAACATTTTAATCACAGAATCACAGATTATGCTGAGTTGGAAGGGACCCACAGGGATCATCAAGTTCAACTCTTAGCCCTGCACAGGACCATACCCTGAGAGTCACACCATGTGCCTGAGAGTATGATCCAAACACTTCTTGAACTCTGGCAGGCTTGGTACTGTGACCACTTCCCTGGGGAGTCTGTTCCAGCACCCAGTCACCCTCTGGGTGAAGAATCTTTTTCTAATATCCAACCTAAGCCTCCCCTGACACCACTTCAGGCCATTCCCTTGGGTGCAGTCACTGGTCACCACAAAGAAGAGATCAGTGCCTGCCCCTCCTCTTCCCCTCACAAGGAAGTTGTAACTGCAATGAGGTCTCCCCGCAGTCTCCTCTTCTCCAGGCTGAACAGACCAAGTGACCTCAGCTGCTCCTCACATGGCTTCCCCTCAGGGCCCTTCACCATCTTCGTTGCCCTCCTTTGGACACTCTCAAGTAGCTTAATGTCATTCTTATATTGTGATGACCAAAACTGCACACAATATTCAAGGTGAGGCTGCACCATTGCAGAGTAGAGCAGGACACTGGTGTGGCCTCACCTTGAATATTTACTTAACAGAAACATCAAAAGACAATGTATATTTATTTTTTTTCAAAGCCACTTAAATGCATACCCATGAAAAAACAAATGAAATTTTTGTGTTTAAAAATTGTTGTTTCTCATAATTTATCATATCAAAACTTGGAATAACACCAAGTACATAGCATTACCTGCTCAACACCTTTTGGATAATTTGCAGGTGATTGGAATTAAGCCACTGAACACCACCTACAATTAATACAGTCTGGTCTGTGTTCTCCAGGGGACGTGACCTGAAACCCAGAAAAGAAAAACAACACATCTTGCTTTAAAACAGATGGCAAACATTTTAACTGCATTGCATTGCATTTCACTGAACTGTATCTGGCACCCTGATCAGAGGCCTGATGTAATTTTCTACTATTTTTTTAATCACACAACATGGTCTGCACACGTTATGCGTAATAGTTTACCATCTTTAATTGTGAAATGTGTTAAACACATTTGCGAATAGAACAATAATACAAACAAGGGTACAATAGAGTTTGTACAGTACCTCTGCAGCAGCTGTTCCAGTGCTTTTTCAAAACTCCGTCTCTGGTTTGCATTCATCCAGAACTGGGGGTAGTAGGAGTAACTGATAAATGTTTTCCCCTCATTGATATTATGATAACATTTAACATCATGAGTCTTTTGCCATTCCTGAAGAGTCTTATTCACTCTTTCTATTAGATAGTACATCATCCCTCTGTTAGTTGAGTCACCTATAAAAAGAATCTTTAGATGGAAAAAAAGATATGACTTAGAAGTTGTACAATCCAGAAACCAAAAGCTTAGAAAAAAATATAGCTGCTCAGGAGGTCTTTAAACCCTTCTCATAATGTTCAAGTAATACCTCTGTGAGCTGCCTGTTCTCCAGACCTATCTCAATACTAAAGTTCCCCTTTAGCAAAAATCTGTGTGATTTGATTAATAAAAATATTATGTGTTTCAAAGACAAAAGTGCAGGTTATAGATGGCTATAGCTGCATAGTTAGCCCTGCATTTTTCATCCTTGGTGGTAATTTCTTCTGCTTATGTGTATATATCCTTCCAATTGCTAGTACACAACTGCTGTCGTAATTGCTTGCAGCTTCCTGCTTTTTTTCCTTCAATTTTTCATGTGATTTGTTCCTACACAGCATGTCTTGATTAATGTCTGTCTTCCATAAAGGGAGTTAGAAATGCTGTCAGGATGACGGAAGTACTTTAAGTATAACAGTCTCTGCTCTGCTACTCTGAACTCGCAAATGAATGAAGTAATTTGGGCTTGTTCCTATTCATTCTTACAGTCCTCTGACAAATCAAACATCTCTTTATTTGGAGACCACAGAACTTAGTGGTTTGGGGTGTTTTTTTAATGCAATTGCTCTATTTTTAGTGGATAGGACTAGCAGTTCCTCCTGCTGAAGCAGGTAAGCAATGACAAAATAGTACGAGAACCCAGCTTCACTGCGGTTTGCCAATGAAACTGTGTGCATAATCAATTACCACAGTCACCTCAGCCAAAAATCCACACTGAGGAGCAAAAATGTAAAACTGGGAGTCAGAAACCCCACAGAGCCATAACACAGTAACAGCTCTGTTCTCTGCACAACAGTATGCAGCTTCTCCTACCTCCTCTGGCACTCAGGGTAGGTAGCACCCTGTAAGCTGGTGTTTTGTTTCATTTCTTAATTTGGTTTGGGGTTTGATATTTTACCACTTCCAGATTGAATATTTGATTATGCAAATAAAATTGAGACTGCACAGGATTACATTTTTAAGAATACATTTCCAAAGTGTGTTTTTAGAGATTCTATGTGGTGGAAGCATCTTGGACTTCTCTCATCTAATACATCTCTATTTATCTATTCCCTTGAGGAATGTTACAGTTTCGGAAACTGATTCCACTTCCCACTATTAACTTGTTGTGATTAAAAATAAGTCACAACAGTGTACCAATGACACTTCCTACAGAACAGAAGCAGTTTCAGATGTACATACCCTAATTTGGTGTCAGGGATGAGAATGGGCATATCAAGGGCTGCAGAGAAGCCCTTGATAGATTATGTATGGTAGCAAACAAATTAAAACTAACACCAAGTGCATAGAGGCTCTTCTACCTCCTGTCCTGGACCTCTCAAAGCCGCTCCACAGAGGAAATCCTTAAATAGCTCCTGTTCATGCTTGCACTGAACAAGCACTTCTCTCACATGCAAGGGGGTTTCCAGCTTTTCACATTGTGTCAGAAGAAACTGCTTTAAACCAAGCATAACATGACACACAGAAGTCAAGGATCCTTGGATCCCTGAAAGGACCGGTTGGATATTCTCTTTTTCCCTCTCTGACAGACACAAACATACATACAATTATTTACAATTAGGAAGACAGTTTATGCTTAGAATATGTCCTAATTCTAAAGTAGATTAACCTGTGGTTTTAAGCAACAATTCTTTTAGCTTGCAAAATCTCCTAATTTCTTCAGTCTGCCTATATCCATGTCTCTTTAATCTCCATTTCATGAGTCCATCACTGTAGTATCTAGATGCATATCTATTTAAAAAGTAGTTCTCAGATATTAGCAGGCAAGGATGTCATTAGCTTGTAATGTGGGTGAGAACATTTTTGTGAAAACACAACACATCATTAGCAGAATAACAAACAGGGACTACCAAATTACACACGTACTGCAATTGGTAGAACATCCAAGATTGTTTCTCTTCTACTTCTAGTAACATACAGTACTATTTTGTTATCACAGCACATGAGAATTGCAAAGGAGCACATTCAGCTATTACACTAAATGGGCAGATCTGGCATTTTTCTCTCATTCTTCATTCTACTGTGATAAGGATTCTCATAGATACTTTTTCCTTCTAACTGTGTTTGGTCTAATCTCATCTACCACTCCTTTCAAATAGCAGGACAACAAACTTCATGAATAAAAGGAGAGAAGAACTATGGCTAAGGCCAATGAAAATGATGCACAGATATCTTTTTTTTGCCAACACTGTGCATTTACTATCAACTAAAGTGTGAAGTGTCATGCTAAATATTTCCGAAGTCTCAAACAGTGCAGAGCATCAAAGATCGACTCATCCTTCCTAATCTTTTGATGTGTCAAAATTAGAGCAAAACACATTTACACTACTAAATAATTTAGCCTTGTAGGGCTTTACAATTTCTATACCTACACAAGCACACACATATAAACTGTAGATCCATGAATGAATTTTCAAGCCTTCCCTGGGGTACCTAGCTGGCCAGGTTTGCAGATGGAAGGGCACTATGTGCAGTCATTTAATGAATCAGTACCAGGAGAGACAAGTTAGGTACAATTATGTCTTAAAGTGGCAGCTCTAGTTCATAAATGACATGATGCTGGGCACCATATGAAAATACCAGGTGGGCTTTAGCATAGTTGTTGTCCTGATGTTCTGCAAATGTGATGGAGGTGATAGGAGTCAGAGCAGATTCCTTCTGATAGTTAGTATAACTGGATGAAATAGGTAACTGCTACAGCCCTGACATACTTCAAATATCATCACAAGATTGATGAGACTGCACACAGCCTATCTCCAAAGGATGTTGTGAGTCTCAGAACATCTCCATTTTCACTCTTTAGTGAACTTGTTATGAAATGGTGAAGCAGGAGGTCAGGAAATTAGATCAGACAGCTAATGCTGTTGGGTGTCCATCTGGGAATGTATACTTATTTCTAGGAGAAGGTGTGGCTGAACAGGATGAGTCAGGATTGAGACAGATGGCAACATCCCACTGGGGAGGAATACAGATTGTTTCACTTGTGAAATTAACACAGACTCTCAGAACAGGTTGGTTAAGAGAACACTTGAGACTTGATGTAAGTGGGGAAGAAAGAAATGAACCAAAGTGGACTTGTGGATGTACAGAGAGGCAGATCAAAAGGTGTCAGTCAATTACAGAACCTTTCAGTGAAGAAGTCTAGCTGTTCAAGCAGATAAGAGCTACATCAGGACTGTATAACTGGAATCAAGCATATTTGTTTAACTCCAGCTACATCTTTCACAGTGAAATTACAGCATTGTTGAAAGATACGTCATTAACACTAGGACTGCAGTATCTGAAACCTACAGTCCCTGCTCTCTAGCTGTAGTCTGTTTGCAGTCATCACAGGAGGGTATCGACAGTCATTCTGTGGAGACCATGTGTGCTGGGATATTGAAGGGAATGTTCTGCCCTAAGTCTAGAGAAGATGTCAGACAGAAAGATAGGTGTGCATTCCTTGTGATCCAATGCACCCCAGGCTGGTGGATGAATAGCAAATCACCAGCAAATCTGCACACACACTGCATCCATTCATTAAGACCTTGTCTGCACTCAACTATCTGCTTCTAACTATTGGTTCAACCATGCTGTGAGACGTGTAAATCCTGGAAAAATAAAAAAAATTCTTCTCTCTAAAGAAAAAGAAATTAGGTGGAAGAAGAGGACACCTGTACATAATCCTACCTGCTTTTCAAACTGCCCTTGTGCAGAGCTGGCCAAGTACATTTTGTTGAGGTATGCAAACCCTCAGAAAGCATCTTTCAAAATTCATGTTCTGCAAGACAGCTTCATTTTCAGCAAATGCTTGGAAGCCTCAAAGGTTAAAAGTGGTGTTTAGCTTGAGGAAGAAAACCTATGTCCTTCAGCTAACCCAAGAGCTTTGATGAATTAATCATTCAATGTAATTTAATGTGTGGTAACTGTATCCACGTTTATTTCTATACAGTTGCATGAACTCACTGTAGTTGCATATGCCATGCAGTATTTAATATGATTTCAACCAAAGGTTCTAGGAATGACTATGACAATAATAAGGAAGATGATGGCTCAGGTGTGTAGAATACCTCATATCTCTTTTTTTTTACACGTCTGGCACAAGGCTTAGTCATGTACTGTTCAAGTCAATGAGGATTTGTCTGCAGGATGACTAAAGGATCAGACATACATAAGGTTATAATTTTACCAGACAAAGAACAACACTTTCACACAGACAGATGTTTTCTTGCAAATATTTTGTGTGAAAAATTCCATTACAGCTTAAAGGCTTTGAAAGATTGTGTAAGCATAGTGGAATTCAATTCTTAACCAGACCTATCATTATAAATTAACCACACTTAGGAAATTTAAACACCTGTAAGTTCAAAACACCACTTAACTCTAAAATATTATTAAGAAATTATAAGCTAAAATTCCTGTTTTAACAGCTGAATTTTAAGTACTTCAGCAAATATTGTCTTTTCATATTTCCTGTTCTTAATTACACATGGCTCAATGGTGCTTAATTATAAGAGTAAACTCTGGGTAGTATTTCTCACTGAGAAGCAAAATATATATCCCTCCTGCTGTTGAGGCCAACTTTCTATATGCTGCTAATTGGGTAAATAATAACCTGTTAGAATCCATTTTCCTCCACCCATTTTTAAAATTTCTTGTACAAAAATCAAAGCATCATGTCTTAATACAATTGTATATGTCTTACAGTAAGAAGTCATTAACCACAGTTAGAGAGAATTTTGTTGAGTCAATATAATACAGGTATGATATTTTATTATGACTACCAATTTCTTTGATTCAATTAGAACATAAGTGTGGAGTTCCCTAAGAATGACACAGTCTGCATCTCATTAGCCTTGGAGTTTAAAATGAAGGAGAAAAAAGACTGCAGATATGAAAAGTGGACTGAAGGAAAATCTATTTAGCCAGAACAACCTTAAGCACAGCACTTCAAAATTTTCCTGTTAATTGTGTTTGAAATGCAAAAATATCACTTACTATTCTTGCTAACACATCATAAAGCAAAATAAGACCCCATAAAACTCGTTTTGTGCACATACATCCTTTCTTATGTCTCCATTAGCCTGAGTGTTATTGTTTCACTACAGGTGGTCTTACATTTTTATGAAACCAAGTGTCCTGGTTTTCACTGGGGTAGAGCTAATTTTCTTCCTAGTAGCTTTTACAGTGCTGTGGTTTGGATTTAGAATAAGAATAATGTTGATAACACACTGATGTTTTAGTTGTTGCTGAGCAGTGCTTACACTAAGTCAAGGACTTTTCAGATTCTTGTTCTGCCCTGCCAGCGAGGAGGTTGGGCAGCACAAGAAGCGGGGAGGGGACACAGCCTGGATAACTGACCTCAGCTGGCCAAAGGAATATTCCAAATCATATGGTATCATGTTGAACAATAAAACTGAGGGGAATTGGCTGGGGAGTGACAACCTCTGCCCAGGGACTGGCTGGCTGTTGGTCAGTGGGTGGTGTGAAATAGCACTGTGTATCATTTCCCTTGTATATTTTTTATCATTATTATTTTCCTTTCTTCTTCCATTCTGCTAAACTGTCTTTTTTTCAACCCACGACTTTTACCTGTTTTTCTGATTCTGTCCCTCATCCCACTGTCGGGCAGTGAGTGAATGGCTGTGTGGTGTTTAGCTGCCTGCCAGGTTAAACCATAACACACAGAAACAAGTTAGCTCAAGCACAGTTTTATAAGCATACAAACTAAAATAGTAGTTAGTGATGATGTGAAATCAACTGGAAGCCACAGCCAGGGAAAATTAATTTCTTTTATAGAGAAAGGAGATTACAATTTTACAGATGAGCTTTGGAAAACAAATTCTAACATAAGACATGAAAGCAGCCTGGAGTTAGAAAACAAATTAGAAAGAATTTTTGAAGGCCTAATTATGATGCAGATAGGAAAGAAGTGGTCGGCTTGGGTGATCATAAATATATTTCAGAAATATTGGCAAATGAATAAAAGAAACTAATGAGCAAGAGATATCTATGTGCTGCATTTTATCAGTGTTCTATGAAACATGAGAAAAACAGAAGGATTGCACTTAAAGATACAGTTGACCTTCTGTGTGCTGCATTTCAGACAAAAAGAACATTCACTTTACATCATATTTCATCACCCCAGCCTGCACTTGTGCTTGGGATTGCCCTGACACAGATGCAGGACCTTGCACTTGGCCTTGTTGAACTTCATGAGGCACAGAAGCCCACCTCTCAAGCCTGTCAGGGTCCCTCTGGATGGCATTCCTTCCCTCCTGCAAGTTGACTGCACCACACAGCTGGGTGGCAAACTTACTGAGGATGTACTTGATCCCACTTTCCATGTTAAACAACACTGGTCCCAGTACCAACCCCTGAGGCATGTCATTTGTCACAGCTCTCCACTCGGACATTGAGCCACTGAACACAACTCTTTGAGTGTGACCACCCAGTTAATTTTTTAAACACTGAATGTTCCATCTATCAAATCCTTGTCTCTCTGGTTTAAAGACAAGGATTTCATGCAGAACAGTGTTGAATACTTTACACAAATGATGCTTTAAATTGTAAGAACTATAGCCAGCAGATCAGAATCCTGAAAACAAATTATATTTTTTTCCAGGACAAAAATCAGAAACTTTAGTGAATCACAAATGTCACTACTTGCTTTATCTGTGACTCCTGGTGCAATTTTGCATGTCTGAATTTTTTATGAAGGTATTCAGGTGTGAAATTCAGTCACAGAGGGCTGTTAGAGTTTTGACAGTAGGCTCGATGTCATTGGACCCAAAGAGGCTACAGAAATACATGTCTCTGCTTTCCTGAGAAAGGATTGTTAATTATCTGGGGTTTATAGAGATTTTATTGCCTTAGCTCAGAATAAGCTTTCAGGAAGAATTCAGATGTAGATACACGAGTCCTTCCTAAAGAATTCTGAACTCCAGAGACCAGAGTTACACAAGCTGAATATTCAAAAACCCTGACTACAGAGGCACACAGGTTAATTGAGCCCTTTTTGAGAAGTGGACACACAAATGAGTTGTGTTGTTCTTAGGCAACTTCAGCAAATGACAATGTAAATCAAAGAGCATTCTAGATTATCGCAGTGTCCTCCATTGGACTGATGACTTTTGCCCTTGTGTTTTGCACTCATGCTTTTTTTTGCTATCTGCTTACATTTCTAGCATCGAAACCTGTTTCTGTAAACTCAGATGTCTGTACTACTTAAGACAAGGCATGTAATGAATTGAAACTAAAATCACAAATGAGGAAATATAAATATCTATAGATCTTTAAAAAAATCTCTTGTGTGATAAAAATGTATTTACTCACAATAATTATATCTTTCTGGCTACTCAGTAGCTCCTCCATAAAAGATCCAGGTGTCTAAAACATATAAGACAGGCAAAAGCCTTTTGCAGTGAGCCCCTGAAATTTTTTTCTACTACATTGCTTAACCTGTGTAAAGTAATTCTAAAGTTTGACTTACAACAGGCAGAATCAGGATCTTATCAGCCAAGCAGGGAACCATTTTTATTTATCTACGTTTGGTATGAAGAAATTCTCTCTTAGTTCTTAAGTTCCACTGAAACAAGGGAGTTAACTCATACTCTACCTTTATTCATCTGGTGAAAGAAGTAAAAATGCTATTGCAAAACATCACATAAAGTTAAAATCACTCCAAAGTGATGACAAAAAGGGAATATATAGGAGAGGGAAAGACAGAGGGGAAATATACCAAAAGGGGAACATACTTTAGAGTAATGACCTTAAAAGAATAAACCAGCTAAACATACATCTGTGCAAAGGTAACAGGAGTGATTCAGCAGATTTCTACAGAGCAGAAAAGGTTATCAGACAAAGTCAGGTGACTTATGTAAAAGATATGGAAAACAAGTGCAATCAGTTTTACAGAGATTTTTCTTGCAAGGTGTTAATGTAGAGCAAGTAGGATCTGGGTCTCATCTGACACTGGAATAGATCAGTGACCTCAGAGAGTCAGAACATCATGGAAGTTGAATTAAGAAATTAAGCTGACAAACAGTCATTTCATATACTTGATTTTAATGGACTCTTAACAAATATTTTTGACATTGGTGAACGTGAATGGTCAGATTCAGGAGGTGGGAACATCAGCAAATCCTCCCAGCAATACCCTGGCAATCCACTTCCACAGAAGCGTATTGTTCCTCTGCTGTCCTTCAATTGCCTAACCAAAAGGTGTTTGCTTATTGAAGCAGCCTGATGTCCATGGAAATTAAAGACCAAAGCAAAGCTATCGATTTCTTGTCTATTTTTGCTGTGGTCAACCCAGAAGTGCTTGTTTTGTACATGAGGAGCAAATCAAGCCTCTACTCTGTCATACAAACCAATATTATTTTAGAAAAATATGTTAAGAGAAATGCACAGCTTTATAGTAATTGAGAAAAGCACAGGCAGAAACAAAGCCAAATGGCAATAAAGTACTTTTTGCAGGGCAAGAGATTACAGAAATGAAGGAGAAAATGTTAATTGAAAGACTATTATTTTTGTATTCGTCTATATAGAAATGCTCTTCGATTTTATCAAAATGCTGCTTTTAGTTACTGTTTTCTTACCTAGGCAATACACTTTAACATCTTTATAACAATTAATTACTTACTTTCTGGATACTTGTATCCTCAGTAAGGTACCTGAGCCTCAGATCAGAGCTCGCTCTCAACAGTTTTACAGTCATAGCATGCTTATTAAGGAGACCTTGTATTTCCAAGCAATCACCTGAGAAGCTTCACTAAAAGAAAAGAATGTGCAAGAAGACTTGGTAAGATTAGTGTGCACAAGCAATGCCATGCATTAGGTATGCAGAAAAAGAAAAACGACTTGCATGTCAAATGTGAGACAAACTGTGACAACAATGCAACAACATCCTCCATTTGCCATCCTTGTGTACTCACTGCAGGTCTGACTGGTAACCACATACACCATAGGTCTTGAAATTCTGCTGGTGTGACCTAAGATCCTATGTGAAATGACAGCAGACAACTGCCTCTGCTTATGAGGCTAAATTATGGATAATGGTTGTTTTTTGTCCCTGTGGATTTTTCATCTGAATATTTTTCCAGTTATAATAAAAAGGGATTTTTCTCACACATCAATCATAAAAGAATTTTGAAATCTTCAGGACTAATATCCAGGTAAATAAAATGAATTAAAATGTAAAACCTGTTACATACCCTTCTGCCCTCCACACAGCGCTGGAGCTCGGGTTTGGCTAGCACAGAGTATTGGCAGCCATGGGGCTGCCACGTTATTTCTCTCCAGTCACAGGTCCTGTTGTCAGAGCAGCTGAGGCAAGGAACAATCCACTGCCCTGGAAAACAGCAATGGGAAGTCAGCACCTCCTCTGTATTTTTGTGAATGGTTTTATTGCGCAGGAAGCAAGATGTTTTTGAGTATTTTGTCATGGGAGTTTTTCCGAAATTAAATGCCCTCTAACCCTTTGAGGAGACTATTTCCTTCCACTGTGTTATGCCCTTTTCATTTAGCTAGGGTAGGAGTTTTTCCTTTCCCCAAAAGAGCTGTGAATGCTCAAATCTGACAGCTGTTCATGGGTTTATTTCTCAGTTCATGTTGCCTTCTTGTAGCACCTTGTCCTTTTTCAAGAGAAGAGATACAAGAAAGGGAAAAGTGGTGAGGAGTGAATGCAAAAAGAAAATATTCACATTCAGAAGTGCCTGAAGACAAGGTTCATTCTCATCTACAACTAAACATTTAAAGGCTGGGTGGCTGGTTGAGAGTACCCAATAGAAAAATGAAGCAGGATGAAGACTTTCCCTCACAAAATACTAACTTCTTTAGTTTGTGAGAGTTCATAGGACTGTCCCAGACTGCACATATACATTTCAGAAGATGACAGTAAGGTGAGATGAATAATGTATGTGATTTATTAAAGCCTTATCCCTATTTTCAAAAATTATTTTGCAGATTAGGAGCACAAAGTGGGATTACCAAAGGTCAGTGGGTTTTAACAATCCCTTACCAAAGGTTGAACGGTTTTATTATTTTGTTTTCTAAAGTTATGCCTTTCCAAAATCCTACTGGAAGCCTGATGGATTTAATCCCTCAAGGAAGACAGAAAACTTCTGAGTTGCCTTTATATTCAGATCAACAAAAGAAACACTTTTTCTAGCCCATATAAGTACACAGTACTGACACCTCCCAGGGACTATGTAGCTCTGCCAGCAAAACCTACTTTTGTTCTGATTAAAGGCATTAGACAAGGAAGAGTGCAGAGGCCCCCAAATCCTTGTGTCAATGCTATCAGGCCTTGCTAGCACAGATGGGTTCCTCAACACTGCCCAGAAAATAGCTCCAAAAGCAAATGGTTGCAGAGTAGACCTGGCCTTAGAGTTTGTTGCCAACACTGCTACCAGGTGGCAGGTCAGCAGCCAGCTGGGTGTGATGGATTGCTGCTGCACAGGAAGCTCCAGCAAAAACTGCAAGGCTGTATATTGACATTTTTTTATCAGGCCCGGGACTGAGGGGGCTGCTGAGCAAAGCAACCCTGTGGGATGCCAGCGGCCTTGGGAGAGTCAGCTGCTACTCAGGAGCACGGGAATTTCCAGGGAGGCAGCCTGTGCTTGCACTTAGCCAAAAATCCAAGTAAATATGTTTTTGAAAGCAGCAGAGGGAGTTGTCTTAGCAGATAAAGAAGTCCTTCCAGATAAAAGCATCAAGAATTGTTTGTATGGGAGCCCACACAAGTACATCTAAGGGCAGAAAACATCCCACAGTGCCATGACCACGCAACACCAGTTACTGCTACCCTGCCCTGTGCAGAACATGCTCAACCCAGCCTTAGATGCACTTGCAGATGATGTGGAGCAAATTATGGCAGACTGAACCTAAAGAAAAGCCTGGACACTGGCTTTTACCATGCTGTGGGTCAGTGAGGATAACCTGGCTCCCTTGGTTCCCATGGGCATGGGTGCCTCATGAAGGCTGTGCTGGGCAAGCAGCATGGAGGAAGGAGGGAAGGAAGGAAACTCAGGACCATGGTGGTAGAGCGCAAGCAGGAAGATAGAGATGCTCCATGCTTCTGGCTCAGAGGAGTTTCAAACTTGCATTTTCTGCATCCTAATCACCCAGCTGTTAGGAAAAACATTCCCTACTCTTACCAGCTGAGGACCACTTTAAAGTTCAAAATTCATTAGGACGGGAAAATAACATTCTTGTAACCTGGCAATTTCTGTGTAAAAACAGAGGTCTGAACTTTGGCCCCTGGGCAAGATCCTATGTAGACTTTTTATCAAGGGGTTAAACTGAATCTTTATCTAAAGGTACAAAGTGAATAACTAGGTTCAGGAGCACGGAGTGTTCTTGCAAATGAATGTCCTGCTCAGCTGGGAAACCAAAGGCTGAATTTAGACAATTCCTGTTGCTTGTAGCCTCCCAGTGCTAGCTGTTGTGAATCCCTTACTTGTGCTGACCATCCTTTGGCTTTGAGGTCCTTTGTTCCAGGTTGTGGTCTACTGGCCACCACTGGGGTCAGGAATGCTTTGACCCTCGAATTGCCCTCTATTGTCACTTGTGGACCTTGCCCTCAGCTCCCTCTGCACACACTTTCCAGTCCATGACTAAAGAGTCATTCTCAACTTCATAGCAGTTGTATGAAGAGACTGAAAAGTGCTAGGTCTCAGATAACCCAGCAACAGTTGCTATGCAAACATCTTCTGCTTTGTGCTTTTTGAGTAATAAAGCAGAGACAGAATGGTTAGTTGTTTTGAAGTCTGGACTCCAAGATTGCTACTGTTGAGCTCTTCATAAATGATCTGAGAGTTGTTTCAGGCAGTGTTTTATATTTTAAAATTATATGAAAACTGAATATTTTTTCCTGATGTTGTAGTTTTTCTTTCACACCAAATACAAAAAAGTTCTGGCAATGTCTATAACACAGGAGATCCCTCATTTTATGAAATTTTCTTTTTAACATTACATACATTTATGAGCTGATCTGGTTTTAGGTAATAAACCAGAAAAGTAGAACTATATAAAATGAATATTGAGGAGCCAAAATATCTGAACAATAAAAGTTTAAACTTTGGCAATTGCAAGTGATAAGTACCTTTTGAAAAGTTTATTTTAAATAGCTTGGTTTATATTCAATAGCTCTCTAGGTATATTAAAAAAAATAGATCATTTTTTGGCATATACTAAAGATTAGTAGTAAATAGAAAAAGATTTGAGAACAAGGATATATGGAGACAAACTGATGTGTATAGGAAGCAGTAACATTTAATGCTAACAGAATAGTTGTAGGTTTTATATTTACATAGTTTTTTTCAAATGATGCATCTAAATTTATGCATTTTTGAACCAGTTAGTATCAACTTTTCCTGTTTCAGCTTCACAACAGTTAGTCAATGCATTCTCAACCTTCAAAAATAGGATTGTGTTAAAAGAGAAAATGAATCTTACAAAAAAAGGTGAAGACCATTCACAGTAAAAAATAGCAAAAAATATTAGTTTGGAAATTAAACTTATTTGCTAGGGAAATTGTAAGTTGCTTTTCCCCTATTTATACAAGTTAGCAGCACACATTGCATCTTTCAGCACCATTTCAATCAGGCTGCATTTTGTTGTGCTTCAGCCAAAAGAGTTAGCATTAGCTCTACCAGGAAAGGGCAAGTTTACCTGCAATTCAGTGAAAGAGAGCAGGAAAGAGAGAGGCGTTGTTAGTTTCTTCACAAAGTAAAAATTGGCATAATCAAAGTTTTATGCTAGCCTGTAAGTAGGAGGTTTCCACAGGAAGAGTGAAAGTAAACTGGATTTTTGGCTCATTAGAGCAGTTATAAATCTGCTTAAGATATGAGATTAAACATTGTCAGTACTCCCTAAAACTGTTCTCATAACATGAAAAGAAAGATACTTTAAAAATAATTTATTAGGATTGTTTATTTTCTATTTTAAAAATATTACCCTGAAGTTAAAAATTTAACCAATAAAGGCTGTACATTTAAATCTGATAGTTTTGTTGCTTCTTTTAGCCTCTTTTATTTTTATTCACCCTTTTCCATTTTCATAGCCACATATACATACATTTTCAAATTTAAAATCAACTTTTTTCTATACTGCCAAATAATCATCCATATAAAGAGAAAAAAGTATTCTATCCTGATTACTCAAAATCAAAATATTTAACCTACCTGATGCTAAAGATAGTTTGTGGATTTATGACTAGCTTACTTTTGCATTTGGTGTTTATTTGGTACCCTAAGACTTTTAAAAAGCTTTTTTCTCTGTGACTAGGCTACAGAAATATTTTTTATTTTATTATCTATTATTTATTTTTTAGCTCAATTTATGAAAAGCAAAAGTAAAAATTATTTTTAAAGGACATTATTTGCTTAGGTTTATGGACTTATGCCTGAACTGAGATTTATTCCTTGTAACCAAAGGAGACATTCATTTTGTTGAACATCAGTTAATGTCTCTGTTGGACCCAAATCCAGATAGCTGTTGAATGCAGAGAGAGCTCACACAGAATTATGTTAAACTGGATACAGTTGTAGGAAATGTGGAAAGTGGGATATAACTAAAACATACATGTCACAGAAGCAGGGCAGAACATTAGAAGAGAATCTGTGATCTCTTACCCACCAGATTTTTGTAATTGTCTGCAAACCACATTTCCACAGACAGCAGTAGCCTGATTCACTTGCAGGAATTTAGCAAAACTTGGGGTTCTCATGGTCTCTCTCAGCTCTCTCTCTCTCTCTCTGAGGAGCCAAACACACAGTTAATGCTTGCTGACTTCTGTATTATTGATAATACACCAATACTGAAGAAAGAGCTAATTTTTCTGTGATAGCCTGGTTCAAACCCCATGTGAATCAAGGGAGATTTTCTGAAAGAAAAAAGATTTTTTTTGCTTTAAAAATTGTAATTTCATTCTATGATGTAAACAAGAAGGAAGAAACCTCTGCTGTTGAATATTTCAATTTGCATTTAGTGATTAGAGAGAGAGTAAGAGAGAGAAAGACAGAAATTATGTAAATTGAGTGCATATTTTGTAAGGTGCTGAGCTTCCTCTAAAGAATAGTGTCATAGTAACTAGGAGAGGAGGAAGCCACTTCTGCCTTTGGTCAGACCCTGAACTACTGTCCCTGCTCTACATCAAAGGACTAGAAATGAGGCATGAAATCTGAGTTGTATGGAATTGCAAAGCAGACTTCTAAGTTTTACCATTAGTGTCAGAGGAGGTAAGGTTTCATCTCTTAACTCTGCTGCTCCACCTCAGCCTTTTTCCATGTATGCACAAACACAAGCTTTTCTCAGCACAGATAGATTTTGCAGTGGTAGTATCTCAGTATCCCTATAAAACTAAGCTCTTCCCTGGCATAAGAACAGGGTATGGTGCCACCTTACTTCTGCAGAAGTTTTGAGTTGTCTTCTGAGGGGAAATGACATTGCTTGGCTTCTCTGAAAATTTAACTTATTTAAGTGAAAGAGTTGTTTTTGCTTTAGCAGGGAATTTGCCATGGCTTCCATATGTGTTAGGAAAATGTTCACTGCCAAGATTGGTATACCATTTGGTTGTTACAAATTTGGAATGGTTTTCCACATAAAGACATGCTTTCCAGTTCCACTTGGAAGTTGTGACACACAGTAAAACTACACGGCCACTTGTTGCCAGATACTGCAAACCCCAGTTCTAGGTTCATTAGACACCTGACAGTCTTCACTTTCTAAGCATAAATTATCTTTTCCTGTTTAATATACTTTTCCTTTGAGACTGCACCTCCTGAAGTTTGTTTGAACTTTAATTGTGTATAGTATTCACAATAAGGCTGTAAAAGATATTTTATATTCAGCCTCATTTAGCTAGATGCAGTATTCAAAAGGAGTATGCTATATATCAGGGGAAAGAGACTGTCTGCCCCAGAAGGATTCAGTGGATTTGGCCTGGGCTTTCTAGTCACAAATGTTATGTCCTGATATGGTGGCATCGGATGATTCGCAACTTGTGTGATTAAAATATGCTGTTAGGTACAACAGTGTCTCTTTTGTGCTTTCCCTCTGTATAACACAAATTTAATATATGCCTCTGTTTCACATGATATGATGCATTCAGGCAGTTCCCACATTCCTGTAACTTTTTATTGATTATTCCATGAGTTTGTGCAAATTTACTACTGTGAGAAGTACAGATAAAGATAAAGAATACAGTTGTGTCAATAGACCATAAAGGAGTGTTGGGTTATTTTTCATTTCTCTAATAAAGGATTGAACAAAGTTACTTACTGTCTAATACAGCAACAACTTAAGCTATGAATGACCACACACCTGAGTAGTTAAAGTACACCTGAATAAATCTTTATGCAACTGTGACCTTAACATGAGTACATGCCTGACATTCTGCTGTAATCTGAGTTCACACTAAACCAAAGACATGTCTTGATTGCATTTCTTATTGTAGAATGTTTAATTTGTCCATCTTGTAGGTATAACTATATGTAAAACTAAAAACTGGTTTTGTGTCTCCAATATATAAATGGAAGTATACCATTCAAATGGATCAAAATGTTGTATTCTTTTTCTAAAGTTAATTTTTGAGTAGACAATCCCTTCTAGTTCGAATAAAACATCTGAGATTGGCTCAGTTGGTCTGAGCAGGGTTCTAATAATGCCGAGGTATGCCAAGATACCTGTATGGGCTATTCACTTAAGAGCTGGACTCAATGATCCTTGTTGTTCCTTTCCAACTCAGAATATTCTGTGATTCGGTGATTTTTATTTTAATTGGTGTCAATAGGAATATTTCAATGCATGGTAAAGGCTACATGACAATAACACAAGCAATGGTGGATCATTGATTAGAAACTTATTAACAAAACATTCTCACACAAACTAATTAACCTGATTTTAAAAATCAGTAACTGTTACAAGTGATTAGTTCAATTTATTGTGTGTAGGTTAGTGCATGTCTATAGCAAAAACTAAATACTGTTTCTAGTTCTTCTTTGATGAGGTGCATGAGTTAATTTTCAGAAGAAAGGGGATAAAGTACAAACCTTTTGTGTCTCCAGCTTCACAGGTCTTAAACACTGTCTGTGAAATTGCTGAGAGGTATTCATGAGACAGAGGCTGCAAGCCACAGGACTCCTCTGGGTGAATTTTGGAACCACAGTCCTGAATTAAATGAAATATGTGAAAATTACAGCAGTGTACCCATCCACATAATTTTGAAATCCTCTTCAAGCACATTTAAAGAGGAAAAAAACATATTTGGGGTTGGTTTTGCAGTTCATTCATCCTTTATTCTTCAATATATAGGTTAATATGAAATTTATAATTCTTTTTCCATTCAGACAAGGGTTTTGTAATAAATTATCCCAATCCACAGTAAACATACAAAATACTACATTTGCTAAAGACATAAGAAATTTTATTGAGGCAAACATATATAACTTTCACAAAATATTATATTGTCTCTACTTACATAAGTATATATTATATATATATATATATATAAGTATATATAATTCAAACTGCATGAAAAATGGAGTGGACCTTTCTGGCTAAATGCAATGATAATATTCAGTAATTCAAAATTTGCCTTTTTAAAAAATTGCATATGCTTAGTACTACTAATTATTTACAAACTACACAAATGTAAAGACACTTTTACTGGAGTGTGTCCATTTCAAGAAGGACTATTCTTGAAACATAAAGAATACTGAAATGCAATTTCTCCAAAAAGAACAAAAATATTTCATTAGTATTTTCTTCACTGAAGCATGCCAATTTCTATTTTCTAAAATGACATTAAAATTAATTTCACAGTTGTCATATAATATCATTCACTGTTGCCATGAAATTATGCTACATCTAGGATTACATCTAAATTACACCAATGAGAAAATTACAATTAAGTCCGAGTAGGGTGTAGGTGAATCTTGACAGCTAGTAGAATATGTGCAACTGATACAGATAGCAATATGAACACATCCTGGAATTTAGTAAATACTGGTAGTTCTTGATTATGCAATCAAAAAACCAAAGTGAAATTGTTGTCTCAAAATTAATCTGATCTCATTAAATTGCATGGTGGCAGAAACAAAAGTCTTCCCACTGATTTCAAGAGGTTAAGGTAATTTTTGTGCACACATAGGCAGAGAAATAGTGGGTATTTCTGGGTTGTCCTGTTCTCTGCTTAATCTCTGTAACTAGCGGCAGCTGTTATGACAAAAGGAATGGCATGGTGTCTTCTAGTGTTAAATGTGATGCTGTCTTGGAGCCTCTGGGTCTGCACACACTGTACAGCTATTTGACAGTATTACTTCAAATAACATTAACAACAGAAAGTTCCTACCTTGCAGTAATACAATTTGCACAGGACTTCACAAGAAAATCGAAAATTCCTGAATGTACTGCCATTGCTCTCAACGCAGTGCCATAAAATAACAGGGATTTTCTTGTTCGTATCTCTGCCCAGGGTATGTGTTTAAACAAACAAGATTTTTTTTTTTTAATTACATTTCTTTACCATTAACAGCAGTTTCATGTGGCTAGTTACCTACTAATTACAATCAATATGCAGGGAACTATGTCACTTTTGACTTTGTTGTGTTTTCAAAGTATGCGAACCATGAATTTTAAAGGATGCTGTTTGTGTTTAATATGTAATTCACATCTAAACTATCAGGTCACAAGAGATTGTGAATCCCTGAACAAAGCTTATTTGTTTCATCGTTACCTTTGTAGGAGACCAATCCTTTACCATCACTGACAGATTTAATATAATGTGCAGCTACAGATTTTACCACAGCTCCATCAATCTATGGCACATTAAGGGCTTTTCAAACTGCCTGCAGATTTTTTTTTGTTTTTTGCAGGTACTGCAGTGACATGAAATTTTTCTTGCCTTGCCCAAAGATGAAACATCTTGTGATCTTAAGTATGTTTACAAAAGATCACTCGTGGCAAAAATGAGAGCAAGACATGTAAACATAAATGATAGCTTCTGCTCTGTGTCTGTTCTCCCTGCAAGCCTTCATATTTGGATGGGAGATATAAGAAGGCCCTTGCAATGTCTGGACTAGAATCAAAGCAAAAATTCCCCTGCATTATGTACTTTAGTGCATATCTAGAATGACACTTTATAAGATTGATTTGGCAATTGATTTGGCATTTCACTAGTAAACTTTCTTTTATCTTTATGGAAGATCATCTGGACACTAGCAAATAAAAGAGGAATAAAGCTTTCTTCTCTATATCTAGATAGCTTTTAGTCATCATTGGTTGATACTTAGAGAGTGAAAATTTCTGCTGTGTGAAATGACAATTGTTTCTGTTTCAGACCACACTACAGTGAACCTGATTTTTCATAAAGTTTTAGCATTTAAAAGATCACAAAGATTTCTGAGCCTGCTACTTTACAGTTTTCTCAAACTCCTAATTCATGTTATTTCATTTATTGATAGCCTGTGTGCCTGATTTAATAAGAATTTTGTTTGTTTAGCTCACCTTTCAATAACCACACACTATATTTCCTCTCAAATATATACTTATGTATATACATAAACATAATGCAGACTTAGTTTCACTCAGGTGCACGTTAATATTAAAAAAAACCCAAATCCAGAATCAGTTTTAAAATTGTATGGGGGAGATGGAGAGAGAGGTAAACAAAGCATTATACAGGTGACCCACACTCATGCAGCTAATATGGCATGAGTTTCATATAGTTAATACCATCATAGATGCAGCCATGCTTTAGATTAAGGAATCTAAATTAGCTATTAATGGATTTTTAATTACTGTTGTACCTTTTTACCGTCTCCACCCTAATAAAAGAGTGATTACTCTGAAATTGCAGCACTTGCCTACAGACTAACCCCATAAACTTTCACCAAACTAGAAGCAGTTAAAAACAGAGAAAGTAAGCAGCCTGAGACTTCCCTGGGAAAAGTCTTATCAAACAAAGGACAAACGGTCTATCTGTGTTTGTTTGAACAGTCGGTGCTCCAGCAGTGACAGAGCATCACAAAAAAATAAAGTTACTTTTAGCATCTACAGCTGCTGCTACCTGTCATCTCAAAAAGGCATTTTAAATAGCAAGGTAGGATTTTCAGCATTTTTCTGGAATAACCCAACTCTGTCCATTTAAAGCTGTTGCTAAATCTATAATTTTTGGTGGAAGTAGACTTATGTTAATGAATTGAATGCTTTGGAAACTCCCACCCAGGATGACTGTATGTAGACTGTACTGTAGACTGAGCAAGATCTACAGTTTGGTCAATAATAGTTCTTGGTGCATTTGTATGAAACCCCCTAGCAATCAAAAGGAGCAGTGGGCTCAACATTTTGAAAACCAGGCAATTTCTGCATTTCTGAAACTGTACCCAGTCCAAATCACTGAAGAGTACCCCTACCAGTCTAATAAAGGATCAGAGTATCGGAATGTTTTAAGCTAAACAACAAGAGAAATATAACTAAGCTCACAGGAATTCATTTTAGCATTGCATACAACCAACATGTAGCCAAAATCCTGCCTTTTTCTTACATCCAGAGCCCATGCATGTCTGGGAACTAATGGATGAGATAAACCTCATTGATTATTCTTGGTAAAGAAGGGAGGAGACCTCCCCACCTGTCAGTTCTGCCCCTGCAGTGCCACAGCCAGCGTTGCCCATCAGCCCGGCAGGTCACTCAGCTACCTCCCCTCAGGCACCACAGCCCTGCCTCCTCTCACGGTGCTGCCAGGACTGCCTTACTCCTTTTGACTGTTCACATTTTAGACATGACAGAACAAAACTTCGTGTGAAAGAGGTAATTTAGAACACTTTTCTGTTGGCCTTTGTGGGCTCACTGACTTAACTTTATTTGATCTGTTTCTATTTTAGCTGACCTGAGTTTCTCATGAAATCTTTTCATGTCTCTTTAGTCCATCTTTTTCTACTATTTTACACATAACTAAAACTGGATGAAAAGTGATTAAAAATGATACTATAGAAGGAATTTCAATAAAGTTAGTCAAAGAGTGAGCTCATGAAATAGTGAAACTGTATCTTACTGCTAGGGCATAAATTGTGAGCAGACGGATTAGTTCCACTCTATCAACTTTCTTAATATGGCAGTAATAAATGAAGGAACAGTTGGCATATTGACTTCTATTCAACTGTCTCCCTCTGTCTGGCTGCATTATTCAGTGATAGATGAACCTCCAAAGATTCACAGCTTCAGGCTGGTTCAGTTCAACACCCAAACTGACTACACTGAACTGAAACTCATGGGTGTACAAAACAGGTATAGAGATCTGTCATAAGGAGAGGCATTCTTACAAGAAATTTCAGTACATTATTGCTTTTGACTGGGGCATAATGACTATTGTTAGCCATCAAGCACTAAGACATAGATGAAGACATCTCCTACATCAAAAGACACACAAAGTCATAAAACAGAGAATATAGGATTAATGGGATGAACTGGTGGAGTAATGTGCTGCAACTATGATTTAAAGGAAAGAAACTGCCACCACTGTATTTTTTAAGGAACCTAATGTGTTCCATCTGCAAAAATGGGATAATAGCTCCCCAATGACCCCAAAGACACTGTCATAAATATCACATTAAAAGACTACAAGATGCTCAGTTCCCCACAGATCTGGTAGGGACCATAAAAACACTTTAGAGAAGGAGTCTGGGCACTCACAGATTTGGATTATGCAGTGCACAGACATCAGCAGGAGTCTGGGAAGGATATGAAAAGCTGAGATACTGACCATATTGTTGGGCATGGTGGAGACATCAGAGAACAGTTTGAAATGTGGACAAAGTACAGCCATCAGTCTAAATTGCTTTCCAGTTCTTAATGGAACTATTCATGTTGTTGATATAATTAATATTACTGTGTCTTAAGAATACAATAATACCCTGAACTATGAGTCTCAATCACAGACTTCTGTATATAAAATTTCTTTGAGAATAATGTCATATGCTTTAACCAGTGGCAGAAGAATTTCATAACTACACAGTATCTTTACTAATTGCTAAAGAACTTTTGAAAATTCCAGTAGGTGCCTCTCTACATAGACAACTGACTCAAAGCTCTTACAATGTATGGACAAATAAATTTCATCTTGATACTAAAGCAGATGCAGTGGCTTCCTCTGCACTGAGAATGCCAAC